TGCCTCTGCCCCTGTGCCGTGCACGTAGCCACGTGCCACCCCACGATGCCTGAGCCGGGTCCAGCCTCTTGTGCCCACCCACATCCATCACCCTCTGCTCATCCTGCTGTGCCCATCCTCCTACGCCCACCCAAAACAATCTTCTTGTGCCTGTCCTGTGCCCACCCTCCTGTGCCCACCCAAAACCATCTCCCCGTGTCCATCCTCCTATGCCCACCCGTAACCATCTCCCCATGCCCATCCTTCTGCACCCTCTCTAAACCATCTCCTTATGCCCCTGCTCTTGTGCCCACCCAAAACCATCATCCCATGCCCATCCTGCTATGCCCACCCTTCTGCATCCACCCAAAACCAGCTCCTTGTGCCCGTCCTCTTGTGCCCTCCTGTAACCATCTCCCCGTGCCCACCTTTCTGCACCCACTCCAAACCATCTCCTTGTGCCCATCCTCCTGTGCCCACCTGTAACCATCTCCTTGTGGCCATTCCCCTGCACCCACCTGGCCTCACTCCCTGGGTGCCCGTTGCCCCGTGCCCACCCCCGTGCCCCCACAGCACCCACGTGCGGTAAAGCCGGGGCAGCCCGCAGTGGGCGCGGGAGCGGGACAGCAGGCGGTTCTCCAGGTCGATGCTGGTGCTGCCGATCTCCTGGTCAGGTGGCAGCAGGTCGTAATCGAAGAGCGAGACGTGCAGGTCCTTCTCCAGTGGGATGGTGCCCGTCAGCTCGAACAGCCTGCCATGGGTGACAGGAGTCACACAGGGAGTGGGGGCCCACAGGGATGGGGATCTGCTGGCATGAGGAGCCACCAGATGGGAACCTAGTGGCACGGAGACCTGCTGGCATGGGGAATGGGGGGGGACCTTCTGACTTGGGGACCTGGTGGCACAGGGATCCTCTGGCATGGGGATTGGGGACCTGGTGGCATGGGTGCCCACTGGCATGGGGACCTGCTGGCATAGGCATTGGGGACCTGGTGACTTGGGGACCTGCTGGCATGGGGACTGGGGATGTGGTCACTTGGGGAGCTAGTGGCATGGGCACCCACTGGCATGGGGATCCACTGGCAAGGGGATTGGGGACCTGGTGACTTGGCGACCTCATGGCATGGAGGCCCAATGTTGAAGAGATTGGGGACCTGGGGACCTAGTAGCATGGGGACTATGGGAATGCCATGGGGAATGGAGACACCCGAGCATGGGCACCCAGTGGCACAAGGACCCACCGGCATGGGGTCCCATGGCATGGCCACCCTACCCCACATCAGGGCCCCTGGGACCCTCGGCTCGGTGCCACCCATGGGTGGCAGTGCCATGGGGATGCCCACCCTGGCCGTACCTGCCAAAAACGGGCTGCAGGGTGTTGGGCACATACTGATTGCGGTCGCCCACCTTCTTTGTCCCCAGCGAGATGCGGATGTAGGGGTCGCACTGGTGGGACGGGGCCATCAGGGTGGCACAGGGGGCCGTGGTGGGGCTGAGCGCCCATGCCAGGCACCCATGGGTGGCCTTACCAGCCCGTTCCTGTCCCTGGGGGGCAGGTCGAAAGCCCGGATGATGTAGACCCGCACCAGGCACTCCTGGGGCTGGCTGGGGGGCAGCTCCTGGAAGTGGC